ATATATAAAATATATAATACTAATAACTAAGGTTTTTTTTCCAAAATTAAAAAAAAGAAACAATAAAGAATAAACATATATTGGCACATTTGCTGTTTTAGCCTTAAAAAGATTACGATTTACATCGTGTCATTCAACATACAACAATACATTTTTGCTAACATACGCTCAATCTAGTACAGCTACTTCATTGTCATTCAATCTTTCAATCCATTGGTTTATTATGGTTCTTCTGCTTGCATCCGCGGTTCGAAAAATCCTTGATGACTATATATCGCGTACTCTTCTATGTTGTTGTTAATTTTCGCTTGTTCGTTGTAATAACTGATTCCGTAATGATGCATATCTTCCAAATAAATACCCAGTTTTTTATCGAACGCGTTTGCCAAAAATTGATAACTACTTTCGGTCACAGTCGTAAACGCTGGATAACTCGATGGTTTAAAATTTGCTGTAAATCTAGCATTGCATTTTTCTGGACGAATAGTCGGTTCTTGTCGTGTGGAAAACCTAAGTGTTTCATTATCAGTATTTTGTATCAATATCTCTCTTTCGATACGATTAGGCGATTCGTGGTTGATATCGCTTTGAATATTTCTTCTCGTTATTCGTAGCACTTCCTGTACATCATCATCATCAACGTTTGAATTATCTTTTATCAATTCATTTTTTTTGTTAAAAGAATTTCGAATTAAGGGAGCACGCGACTGCTTTATCGCAGTTTCATCGATTTTATTATTATTTTCATTATCAATAATTATTTCTTCAAAATCTGCTAAAGAGTTTGTTAATTCAGTACTTCTTTTATCTCCGGCAGTTTCATAAGGTTGTTTGATAGGATCGTAACGGATTTCGTTGGCCGAGAGTTGTTTAGACATTAGTGATGTTGTTTTGTCAAACTTGTCTCGCTGATAGGCGAGAGAAACTTTGTTATCGTTCAATAAAAATTCGGCTTGACAATATGCATTTTTTCTCTCTGGCTCGTTTAGCTTTCCTTGCGAGTTTTCTTTGTTATAAATGTCTACATTATTGAGAAAACTTTTGATCCATGTGTTCGCTGTATTTCCCTGAGAAGTAAAATTGCAACGATTTTCATATTCTTTGCATGAGCCGTTGTTACCAGGGATTACGTCTCTATTCGAAGTATTTGAAATCTCTAAAAGACTTCTCCCCACTACAGCAGTAGAACGCATTATTGCGTCGCCTTTAGTAGACGTGAATTTACCTACAATGTATCGATTTGCGGCTTTGTGGGGCCGTATATGTTGCATATAACTGTTATCCACAACATGGTCCGAGAGAAACAAATCAATATCCGCACCGCAGTTATCTTGATGTTTCTCAATTTCGAGCGAGTCCGGAGTTTGCGTACCGGCGTCGACAAAATATCTTAGATAGTTTTCCATTTTTAAGTACTTCCGATTCAGATTCACATCCATTGTCGTCATTCCGTTTAGTTTGAATTTCACGCGTACTGTTTCTTTTCCTGGTCTCTTTCTGTACTTAGATCTTGTACCATGCTTGTGTATCAATCGCTTGTGAATCTTTAAGTCCGAAACAGTTAAAAATTGCATATCGCATATATCGCATTTCTGACCGATGCTTTCGAGATAAATCTCGTGATGTAGAGCGTTCATTAGCGATCCTATAGTTCCGTGTCGCCATTGTGAGTGCAGAGAAACATCGCTTTCGCATTTAAAATTTCTACCGCATATTTTGCACGTACTTCCGATAATGACGACACTGCACTCTCGCAAAGTCACACCAGCGGAAACACGGAAGCTTCTTTTATTTAATTGTGTATCGTTGAATGCCCGCATTTCATCCAAATTCGACGAATCTTAAGATGAATATTCTTTGGTTGTTCTTCCGCCGCTCTTCATCGCGCATTGACGTTCTCTTGAAAAGTCGTTACGGTCGCACAGCGCGGTCACTATCGTGCTGACTCGTCACTTATAAACTTCGTCTGCCAGCGATAAGACTTCTTTGGACTTTGTCTTGGCTCTGATGTGGCGCCACCTCGTGTGCGGATCACTTTAACCTGACCTAACACCGAGACAAAAGACAATTGTCATGTTGATCGTGTATTGTGTGTGTTATTCGCGCAACGGTCAAATTTGGCTTTTGTCCGAGATGTATTTCATAATATGTTGTATACTCTATTCAATGAGAGAATAATATCGAGAATATGAGAGAATAATAAGGAAAACTCGTCCGTTTCGCGCAAGTCAGAAACTTTTTTCCTAAAAAGCCCCCACTACATCGCCGTATCGCTCATGCAGCTTGCCATGTTTTCCCCACTTTGCCTGCCTATGCGCAGACCGATATTATTCTCTCATTGAATAGAGTATATATATACTTCATAAATAACGTATAATAGATTGACAAAAAATAATTCGTTGAACTTTAGATTGATTAATCTATCTACAACGTTTGAAGAATTGTTCAGTCATTTTTTTGTACAAGAGCAACAATCGTGACCACGCAACATTTTTACGGATTGCCAGCTGATGTGCCAACGAAAAAGATGTTACGTATAAAAAGTATAGGTTGCGATTCATATAAAATTAAATAAGCAATAAACCTGTATGTCGAATATGTCTAAGTACTACGGTTAATATTAAACAAACATGATATTAAATATATTTTTTTAAATAGTATATGTGTGTGTGTGTGTATTGTTAGATATAGTCGTTTTATGGTTATAATATTATACGAAATATTATAAATGTATCTTTGATAAATAATATTGTTTTGATATATTTCAAGATCACATAATCAATAATACTGATTGTGAGCAATTTAACCATACTAATCAGTATTAATTCAGAAATCTGATTATATTATATTATCTTCTCCTTTTTCTCTCTCTCTCCCTTTCTCTCTCTATTTAATACATTCCCAACAATATTTAATAACATTTTTTCATATGTTATTGAAAGAAAACATGAGAAATACGATCTGTTTTTCTTCTACATAGTTTATATTAACTATGTGACCTTAAACATGACAAAAACTGTAAACACCAGATATAAGATTTGAAGACAGTCTCTCTGATATTAAATAAAATTCGATAATTCACAGTATATAACTGATACAAGTTATATGCTAACGATTATGTTTACAAACTTGATTATAGACATATAATTATAGAATAGAATATATAGTTTTACTTAATCGCTTAATTATAGAATTATAACTAACAATAAGTGAAAATACCTAAAAATAACTAACAATAAGTAAAAATAATTATAAAATTTCTGATATATATATGAAATAATATAATATTCAATTACATACAACTTTATTACGCGAATATCTTTGAAGCTTCAACATTCGGAGAAACTCTTTATGTATTGTCTGCTTCGGTTTTTACGTCATATTCGATTTATATAACGATGATATACAAATTGAAGAAAATAGACTAAATATTTCTACAGAAATGATGCTAATGCAAGGCTCTGACCAATAATTTTCATACCTCGTTGTTTTCGAAGACCTTCACAATCTTTTGACCATCTACAAATCAACACCGTAATACGGAATCGTCTTTCAACTCTGTGTAATTCTCGGTACCGGCGAAGAAGAGACAAGAGAACCTATTCCGGCAACGTCGCTTGCTTAGAGTCGATTGCCGCTCACCGCTACAGTGTTGTTGGTTCGCTTCTGTTGTCAACTTTCGGCTTTCTTAAAAATTAGTTGACTACATCCTGAAACACACATCCTTGACTGGAAAAAACACTCATATTATTTCAAACAGAATTAATATATTCTTACAAACTGTGAGAAAAGCATGATTTTGATATTTTATTGTTAAAACATTGATAAGGTCAAAATGATCCATATGCTAATCTTTAAGGTTTAATTTATTGTTAGTTCCATTTTGTTAGGATTTGAATCTGGTATCTTCAGACTCATCCAGATTAGTAGTCAGACGTATTACCCATTGTATCAGAATTATATCTACTTTATTTAGTACAACTTTATTAAATAATAAACGGCGTTGATAATACATATTTAGTATAAAATTACATTTTTTTAAATTTTATATATACATAAAATCTATAAATATATCTGTAATATTATAGGTATATATATTATTTTTTATGTACTTTTGTTTAATTGCTCATCCTGTAAATTATTATTATTATCATCGTTTCAGATTTATTCGATCGCGACAAATGTATTTGCAAATATGGATATTTATGGTAGCGCACATAATCTATGCCCGTAAGTATCATTGCATCGATGCAGATTAAATCGATATGGATTACTTGTCTGAACCTCAAAATATCATATTTTTGATAGAACACGTTGTGAGAGAAAGCATTATCAAACGTGGTCTATGCAACGGTTACAAGCTCGGCGAAGACGATCTACAGACCTTCGACTTCATCAGCAAGTTGCAATTGGATCTGTTGAATGCGCGTTACAGCGGCATGACGAAAGTGCGAGGCAGCAATCGCATACAGACGGCATATCGGCTAGAGAAAGACACTGACGTCACCCTTCCAACAAAGTATTCAAATTAACTCGCATAGCAACAGCGACGTAATCAGCATCTTATTTATGCAAAAGGCTTACTGATGATCCCAATATTTGAATTAAATCCAAATAAGTCGTTCATCTATCCTAACTTGACGACCATATACCATTATATAGATTCCCGCCAAATCATAGCTGACGATTACAATTGATTATCTAATAAAAAAAATTCTTTATTATCGACCTCTATAATATTTCATTGAAGATATTTATTAGCAAAATACCAAGCGATATATTTTTCACGTTTGAGTTTTTTTTTCAGGGATATTATACCTACTGGACTTCCAGAGGAATTCTCGTTGGTGTACACGTTGAGAGCTAGAAAGTCACCAAAATATGCTTGGCATATCATTAAAATCGTGGACGCGAGAGGTGACGCTCAATTTCTCATCACGATGAGTCCCAGGAAACAGACGCTAGATTTTTCATTGATTGATCACGAAGGAAAATTGCAGACGGTCTCTTTCCCGAATGATCGCGTGAGTGTCATTATTAATAGTCACGTCTATTATTGTTCTAGAATAGCTCGTTGTCGCGCATTGTTGTATGTATAACGATTTCATATTCTTAAAATTAAAGAAATACTTGATTTTGCCAAACAAGAAACTCGAACAATAAAGAAAAAAATCATTATAGAGAATCATCTGATTCTATGTATTTTCGATAAGTAGTCGCATACAATACAAACACAATTAAAAAAATTATTAAAATTATGTGTTTTTCAACAAAAGACGACATATTTTGGCGAGATGTATTAAATCATTCCTAAATCTCGAGGCTTTTAAAATTAAGCTTTTCCGATAGTGATCACACTTACAGAACATATTCACGAATTTTATTTAACTCGCTTTCAAAAATGCCGTCGGAAAGAAAGAGAAAGAGAAAGAGAGACGAACAGAGACGGAAGAGGGGGGAAGAGAGAAATATAGTCGTCATTATTAAAACGATTTAATCAATTGATTATCATGAGTGTTTCGTCAATTGTCTCACGAAATCATTACGTAAGCGTAGGCTAGTGCGTGAGATACATCAAGATACGTGATAGACTTCATAAAAGTGAACGTGTGAATTATATCGTTATGCCATATGCATCAGATGCAATGGATATAAATCGCGTTAAGGCGTTTCTTACACAAAATATCATTCGAGAGATTCTTAACGGTAGAAATTCTGTCACGCAAGTGACAGAAAAACTAGGACTGCATTATACAATCGATGAATCAGTAGTAAGATCATCATGATGCGCTCAGAGTCTTTTGATCGATATGGATACCGCTATTGCAGGCACTTAACTAGCGTTTTGAAATAGCGTGCATTCATGCGATAAATATGAAATCCCGAGGCCTTATTTATGCCTTATTTAGGATTAGAACTCATTTACTTCTTTCTAGACCATAATATTTTCTATAAGATAGCTTCAAGCGAAAACTTACAATAATACTTACAATAATAATTAATTACAATTTACATCATTGTATAATAACATTAAAAAAGATATATTTTTTTTTTTATAAAATAGATATTCGACAAGGGTTGGCACAAAATAAATTTCGGAGTGTTCAAGGATAAATTAGTGCTTAAAGTTGATTGCGAACATATTGGTACAGAAGAATTAAGACCGCGCAGATCAAGTAAAGTCGATGGAGACATGTCGATAGCCAAAATGAAGAATAGTAAAGTCACTGTACCGGTAAGCCTTGTTGACATCTATGAAATGTGCAGTTGAAGCTTGATTATCACGCTATTTAATATACCAATCTACCCTGTTTTTTAACTGCAGATGACTGAAAAACTTAAAGATGTTTTAATAAATTTCGATACAACTATCACTGCGATTTAAAGATCGGCTTGCATGTATATATATCTAATATTCACGAATTGCATCGCTATTATGTCATTGCGAAGAATACCAATCTTTCAGAGCTAACGTTACATATCGTCACAATTATGCAGCCTGTTACTTAATTAATACCAGCTTTACGCAGAGCGAGGCTAAAACTGTCAGTAGGACAAGAACTAAATTTAATATTAGACTCTTTAGTCCACATCCAGAACGCACATAATAACGTTAGCATCTAAATGCAATATATTTATAAAAAGTTATAATCGAAAAATTAATAGAACATCATACATAATATTCCAAAATTGAATATCTGCACTACCGTTAGATCGACATACAATGGATGAGCCTAAACTGCGATCCTACGAGACTAGAGAGAGAAACGTGCGAGGAGCTACCAGTAGGTATCGATATATTTTGACAAGATTTTATAATTTGCAAGATATGACTATATAATATTAACGTGTTTATAGAAAAACTTAGCCGCCTCGCTTCAAATGAAACCTGCTTGCGAAAAAATCTGCCTGCAAGGATTCAACAGTACAAATGTAAGTTTCTCCTCCCAATTTATTAAATATTTATAAAATATTTATTATAAATATTTATATATGTATCAAACCGCGAAAAAGATCTTGTTTTTACAGTATCAAAAATGAAACATTAATAAAATTAGAATACTTATGAAGTCAATAATAAAAATATCATTTTCAATTAGATATTACATTAACTATAGAGATGTTGTAGTAAATTTCGAATAATCACTGTGATTTAAAGATCGGCTTGCATGTACTTACATATATCTAACATCCACGAATTACATTGCTATTATATGTCATTGCGAAGAATGCCCATCTTTCGAAGCTAATATTACATATAATGTGAAAAATATCACTTTCTTTAGTAATATATTTAAAATCGTTGATGAATGAAAATGAAATTTTATCAGGGATCCCCCGATTTACGCGGCCCGCCCGGAGTACCGGGACCAATTGGTATACCCGGGCAACGTGGGCTGCCGGGAGAACAAGGAAGAACAGTACGTTATTATTATTTAATTTGGAAATTATTAAATAATATTTACATTTATGGAATATAGACAAACGTATGTATGTAAAAGGATTATATAAGAGATGCATGTTATCAGGGAGCCCCTGGTAATACTGGCGCCAGAGGTTTCCCAGGATTACAGGGTCCCAAAGGATCGATCGGACCTGCGGGATCACCGGGATTACCAGGTTTACCGGGACAAAAAGGTGATCGTGGTGAAAGAGTAAGTATTTTTAAATTTAAATTTTATATAATGAAGAAAGGGAAGGGAGAAAGGAAGGCGTAATTTAAAAAAGTTTCTTTATAACAAAAATAGAGCGATAGAAAAATGCAATAGAAATTTTTCATAGGGTGATATGGGATTTCCGGGTTTGAAAGGAGATCAAGGTCCTCGAGGATTTCCGGGCCCACCAGGGAATAGCAACTCGTCACGCTTGATGGGTCCCCCTGGCGAGAAAGGAGCTAAAGGTGAACGGGGAAACGATGGTGCTCAAGGACAACCGAGTGAAAAAGGTACGACATGTTATTGCTTAAAATATTTGAACTGTCTATATTCCGTGTTTATGACCTTTTTATTAATATTTTTAAGAATGGATTGTATATGCACCGCGCAAATTGTAAAAAGTCGCGATTCCAATAGCGACTATTAAACGATTCAGGCGACATATAATATTTCACTTATGATGTTGACCTAGATATGTTCATTCGCAGTCATTGTAAATCAATTTATTACAATTCGTGACAATGTCCGTGATTGTACAATACATAACAAAAATCAAAATTAATTGAGCACAATAGGAACGAAAGTTTCATTATTAAAATAGCTTTTATGATATATATACATTTACGAAATATATATTTAGTACTTAACATTTATACATATACGATTGACTCATATAAAAATATTTGAAAAAAACATCACCTCTGACATATTAATTGTCATGTAAAAAATTCAACAATATTTTAGGCGAACGTGGAGACAGGGGATTAGACGGAATTCGCGGTCATGACGGCACACCAGGTCCTCCCGGTCCTCCGGGACTTCCCGGTTCCCCTGGACCCGCAGGAAATATCGTATTTACGGATGCTCCTGGTATTCCAGGACCAACAGGTCCTCGTGGCGTAACAGGTCTGCCGGGGCCACTAGGTCCTCCAGGATTGCCAGGATTATCAGGGCCTCCTGGACCGCCAGGCCAAAGAGGTCCGAAGGGTGATACCGGAGAACGTGGTCGAGATGGTTTGTAACTGATTTATTGGAGATTAAATAAGAGAATTGTTTAATACACGAATAATAAAACTATTTCTTTCATTTTATAAATACATAACTTAAAATATTTATTTTTATTTTTCAAGGCATACCGGGACTGACGAATAATAACGTAATACCTGGGTCACCTGGTCCTGAAGGACGTGCTGGTCCTCCTGGCGAAGATGGTCTTCCCGGTGAGAAAGGAGAAGTTGGACCAATAGGTCCTCCAGGATTACCCGGAGAAATAGGAAAAGATGGAATTCCAGGATTACCGGGACCGCAGGTATTTTAGTACTTTGTCTTATTATAATTTTTTATTACGTAAAATAATGCACTCTTTTATAAATATTCATTACTGCGATAAGGGACCACCAGGCTTACGCGGGGAACCGGGCTCTCCAGGATCGCGAGGTTTAGAAGGGGTTGCAGGAAAATCAGGGCCGCCAGGACTCGATGGAAAACCAGGTCAAAAAGGCAAAGAAGGTGAACAAGGACCTGTCGGACCTCGTGGGCTACCAGGAAGTTCGGTAAGAATGAACAAAACGTATCTTTATCTGTTTATTTAAAAAGTATGATCTTTCGTCATTATTGCATAGCATTTTAAATTATTGTTGATAACATGACAATAAAGCGAATGAATAAAACACAATATAGTGGAGATTAGTAACATTAGTCCCGTTTCGCCAATTTTCGTTATACTTACCGAGCAATGGCTTAATTGCGAAATTTTATAACATAAAAATTAATTTATATGTTTTTAGGGTTCAACGGGCCTGCCGGGTACACCAGGCGTACCAGGATTGGAAGGAAGGCCCGGTCTATCCGGGCCACCAGGACCGCCAGGACCGCCAGGTTCGCTAGGGCCTCCAGGATCTCCTGGTTTTCCAACTTCAAACAGTAACTTCGATAGGATTGATAATCTCGATCTTGAAGGACCCAGAGGCCCAATAGGCTCTCCAGGAATAGTAAGTATTTTATTTAGGATCAAGTTCAACTACAGATTCGATTAATTAATAATGAACTTAAATCAGAATAAATAATTAGCCAGGTGAAAGAGGAGCCCCTGGAGAACGAGGATCAGAGGGTCAAATAGGACCGCCCGGAATACCCGGCAAGGACGGAGCACCTGGATTGCAAGGATTACCCGGAAATAGAGGTCAAACGGGATTACCAGGACTTCAGGGCCTGCCGGGCCACAATATCAACGAAGCGGAAATTCGTGATATTTGCGCCAGCGTGTTAAGAGGTAATTTTAATCGTCGTTAAAAATTATTTTTTATTGCAGTTGTAAATATTAATGAAAGTTCACTGAAGTTTAAATAATTCTCCGATTGTCAATTCTTTTCGTTTTCGCTTTAGAATTAGAATATATTAAACTTCGGTTAACTTTAATTGAGATTTAAAACGATGATTCTCTGTTTCAATCATCTCAGGTATCTGTATCTTTCGTGCGCATATGAAAAACATGCAATGACATCACATATACAGAAGGATATATATGAATTACATTGTGATAGTTTTTCTTATCATCTATATACATACAGAACAGATGACCGAAATGGCAGCACTCATGCAAGGCCCACCCGGTCCGCCCGGTCGAAGTCGTCCGGGCCGTCTTGGATCGCCTGGTCCCCAAGGTCGTCCAGGTACATCATCGAGTCAGGATTACCAATTCTTTGCGCTTTTCATTTGCCTATGACACAATATTAATCGCATTAAAAATCAGCTACTACGTAGATTTTCTTATTAGTTTATAGATAAATCTTGGACATAGTGAGCGGAACGCTAGGATCCTAACTCGAGAAGGAACGTTTGGCAAGCAACAAAGAGTATCGCTGTCATAGTAGCATCACCATTTAAAAGCTTGAAGTATCATAATCATTATCGTCTTCACATAGAACTATAGCACATGCGAATGGTGTGATTCATCATGATGCACTTAACAATATCGATGATGTAATATCAACGGATAAATGTTCTCTTGTCGTCATTACGCCTATAAAAATAATGATATCCTGGCATGTGTCACAGAGAGGCTGAAAGAATTAACAGAAGATCTACGAGGGCTACCCGGGCTACCGGGGCCGGCTCGACACGGTCGTCCCGGTCGAGCCGGAAAACAAGGCATTCCAGGTATCTACCGCTCAAAATAACGCATCCCTCTGGAACGTCTGGAAAATAGTCCATTTGAAATAACGGAAACTTTCATCGTGCGCATGCGAAGAATTCAAGTAATTTTACTAACAATCTCATAACAATTATAATGCTTTTAATGTATCTTAAAACAAATCTATTTTTTAAAGCAGTACATGCTTTATGCATTATCATTAATAAATTCCTTTTTTATCTTAGATTTTATCTCGTTCTTTCATCTTCAGTTTTTATCTTCAATTTTATCATATTATATAACTTTATTAAACTGCTTTAAAAAAAGATGCCTGGATATCCTACAAATAAAAATTAATGGATGACATATTTTTTGAATATATTTAATGCTTCTCAAAATCTCTTGATTTTATTTAACTCTACTCAATCGTATTTAGGTGATCCGGGCTCACCAGGTTTGCCGGGAGAACGTGGATTCGTCGGTTTACCGGGTCCGCAAGGTCTCATCGGACCACAGGGGCCACCAGGAGAACGCGGAGAAAAAGGGGACAGAGGTCTCGAGGGAATCGGTTCAGAAGGTCCACCTGGTCCAATAGGTCCCCCTGGTAAAACAACATTATTATTAGCAACAAAAGATTATTCGCAACAATTTATTTATAGGATGGCTGTATAATAATTCTACTGCATTTTATGGCAGGATCTCCTGGTAACGATGGTGTTGGTTTACCTGGAAGACAGGGTGATAAAGGCGAGCGAGGCAGACCAGGTAAAAGAATTAAAATAAGTTTAGAATAAAAGTTTTTTTTAATTAGCTTACAGAATTATTAAAACTTTTATTAGTGATGTTCTCAATATTGTTGTATGTGTAATCATTTTATATAT